TGCTTCTTCAGTCCAACCACTCACTACTCACACGATTTAACTTTATTGTGACTTGTGTTAACTTGAGATTGGGAATGAATATATACATACATATATACACACAAATACATATTTATATACATATATATCTGATGATTATTTTCTGAGAGCACATCTCTCTGGCACTTTTCATTGATACCTCTGTCCTTTACCTCTTCGGGATCTGACAAGCTTCAGACTCTGGCTGTGGATACTGACTGCTCTATAAATGGGTATTTCTTCAAAAAACTGGGTTTCCAGCATTCACTTAAGGTAAGTTCTGGGGCTTCTTGCTTTTCCCTTCCAGCTGAAAAAAAAGAAAAAATCCCCTTTTAGAAGTTGAAAATCGCATATTTCCTTTTAATGCAGAAATGCAAATAGCAATGCTTTTAATACTAATAGCTGGAGACAGACTGTATACATAAACATGTAGACACAAAATAGCATGAGAGAAGCTAGGATTTAGTTGAAGAATGGCTGAAATCAGTAATTCCAGGGCTGCTTATGTAAAATAATCTGTCTCTTCCTCCCTCCTTTCTTCCCCCCTCCCTCTCCCTCCCTCTCCTCTTTCCAGCAGTCTCTCTTTTTCTGACTCATGCTGGGTTTGAGGAAATAATTTCTCACTTTTCCTTCAGAGAGACCTCTGAGTAACCGGGGACTTGGCCTGCCTTGCCTACCGAGTGTGGGGGAAGATGGGATGGACAGGAGGTGATTCTGTTCCGTGAAGTAATCGCTCATCACCAGCTGGGGGTTAAACTACTTTTGCAGCATCACTTCACCTGTGGACTCTTCTGAATTTTGCTTTCTTGGGGAAAAGAACTGGGGTAAGAGGAGGTCATTTTTAACAAGTTGGCACCCTTCTCCTTCCCTTACAAGTTGGTGCAGAGGATAAAGCTGTGACTGTTGGATTACACCTTCACCTCAAAACAGGAGAAGAAAAAGAAGAAAAGGACCATGGCTCTGAGTGGAAACTGTAGTCGTTATTATCCTCGAGAACAGGGCGCCGCAGTTCCCAGCTCCTTCCCCGAGGTCGTGGAGCTGAATGTTGGGGGTCAAGTGTATTTCACTCGCCATTCCACATTAATAAGCATCCCTCATTCCCTCCTGTGGAAAATGTTTTCCCCAAAGAGAGAAACAGCTAACGATCTAGCCAAGGACTCCAAGGGAAGGTTTTTCATTGACAGAGATGGATTCTTGTTCCGTTATATTCTGGACTATCTCAGGGACAGGCAGGTGGTCCTACCTGATCACTTCCCAGAAAGGGGGAGACTGAAAAGGGAAGCTGAGTACTTCCAGCTCCCAGACTTGGTCAAACTCCTGACCCCTGAGGAAATCAAGCAAAGCCCAGACGAATTCTACCACAGTGACTTTGAAGATGCCTCCCAAGGAAGCGACCCGAGAATCTGCCCTCCGGCTTCCCTGCTCCCTGCTGACCGCAAGTGGGGCTTCATTACCGTGGGCTACAGGGGGTCCTGCACCACAGGCAGGGAGGGGCAGGCAGATGCCAAGTTTCGCAGAGTTCCCCGGATTTTGGTTTGTGGAAGGATTTCCCTGGCAAAGGAGGTCTTTGGAGAAACTTTGAATGAGAGCAGAGACCCTGACCGAGCCCCAGAAAGATACACCTCCAGATTTTATCTCAAATTCAAGCATCTGGAAAGGGCTTTCGACATGCTGTCAGAGTGTGGGTTCCACATGGTGGCCTGTAACTCCTCGGTGACGGCGTCTTTCGTGAACCAGTACACAGAAGACAGAGTGTGGTCGAGCTACACCGAGTACGTCTTCTACCGTAAGTACAAGGGCTTCTTTTTATTTTTCATGTGTATTGGTTCTCTTCGCAGATGTAGAGTCTGTATGTTTAGTCAACGTCTAAGGAATACAATCTGGTGATTTTTTTTTTAAATAAACTCTTGAGGTATGAGGAGAGCATTAAGAGGCTGTAATTTGGCACTCATGTCTTACCTAAGGCAACTTTTGTCCTTTTGTCCAGCGAAGCCACAGAATAGTCAAAGGCTTCAAAAATCGCAAGATGCACAGGACATTGCTAGAGGTACTATGTGAAATGGAAACAGATATGTGTGTCTGTTGGCCGGCTGTGAACTGTGAGGATAAGGTGACTGGGACTTGGCTGTGGGACCGCGGGAGGGTGGTGGTGGACTCACAGCAGGTGAAGAGCTGCTATTCTTTTATCTGAACTTTACGATCTGTTCAGCCGGTTGCTGAAGACTTGCATTTATCAGGAGGTTTGAAAACACAAATGGACATTGCACTGAATGATGTGGCCTTGGCTAGATGGCAGTATAGACTGATGAAAGACCCCCCTTCCTTCCACTACGCCCCCAGTCTGAAATTTGCTTTTATAGGCTTTACAAATCTGCTATTTGATTCTTTGGCCTTTTGTACAGAGACTTGAGTTGTGCTGCGATCTTAATTAAGCTGAGCCTTATTTGAGAGCAGGCTAAAAGGAACTAGATCCTTGAGAACTGTCAATCATGCGCAGACACCTTCAGACAGCTTAGGTGATAAAATTATTGACGTAAAAGGAAACTGGAGGAAATAAAAAAGGAAACAATTGAACTGAAGTTTTTTAAGTAAGAGTTTCTTAAAGGTCAGTCCATGTGCTTAAATGATGACATAATGGTACAGATTGCCTTGTTTTACAAAATGGCATTATTCTAAATAAGCTATAAGCCATTGCTCTCTAATGGGAGAACAATAAATCAGCCTGTTAAGTTCAGTGCTTGTTTAACCACTGATTTTCAACTGGGTTGGGAGCGGGATGAAGTGAACTCCATGAGAATTATGTTTTTAGTGTTAACGTTTGATTTCCTCCATTCTTAGTTTAAGGCAAATCCCTAAGTTTGGGGGGTTGAAATGTCTAAATTTCTTGAAGCATGAAGGTATGACTGAATTCCTTGAACTGATTTTTGCCTATTGTTGTATTTGTTTGGAGATGGTGCTGGGAACCTTGGTGGAGAGGCCAGCGGGAAGCCGAGTTCTGGTTTAACACATTTGATTTGGAGAAGTGAAGACACATGGATTGTATAGGAAGGACAGCTGAGAAACACAATACAATCAGCTGTCAGTTCAGGAGGGTAGCTTTTGATGTGTATGTAATGACAAGCATCATTTGGTCCAAGAGCCCTGTCCATGGCCTTCATCTGTGTCTTCCTCTGGGCTGGAGTCAGTTACCAGATACTGCTTTCTTCCTTCTGGTGAATTTCCCACTAGTGTAGAGATAAGACTCCAGCTTTTTAGCTTTCTATAACTGAGTCTGACATTATCTATGATTCTGTAGAACAATTATCTTATAACCTTTTGTAAAAATGCAACTTGGAGAGAGTTAAAGTAGAGATTGGTGATGTTTACCTTGTTCTCTAATTTCTAATATTTGAAAACAGCATTTTAAGAAGCTTCAAGTAACTAAAAACATATACCAGCCATCTCCTCTCCAACACATTCGATTTCTAATTGCTTGCTCACATAAATGAGACCCAGAACCTGAAATCTATTTGCCTACTAGCCCATTGGCATTTCTGTGTTCATCTAAGGCTCATCTGTCTAACACTATGTCCTCTTTAGATTGCGCTGGACAGACTCAGTTTTCCTGATATAACTGTTGGGATTTTTGTTTTGTTTTGTTTCCCTTTGTGAGATTGCTGAGAGGTTGCCTAGGAGCAGTTTGCTCTCCGTCACGCTAGGTAGGGTGGGACAGGCTAGCACAGACACACGGCAGCTTCCTATTGCACAGCATGCACATTGGCTATGTATGCTATACCGCCCCTTTCGTACCTGACATGCAGAGCAAAATGTGAACTCTCTTAGCACCACTGAAACTGACAGCTGGCTCTCTGGCGCGCATAACCGCTTCCCTGCAGCCGCTTAGCCATCATCATTTAATTAGAAGCTGCCAACTGTGCCTACATAAGCATTAATTCATCAAGCTGTTGTGCCCAGAATTCATGGGCCGAAAGCATGGGAAGTGCTCTAGAGCAGAGAGTGGACTGTAGGCAAAGACGCTCCGCGGCGAGCTCGGGTCCTGCGAGCGCCGCCCAGCCCCGCCGAACGCAGCCCAGGCGCGCCCTGCGGACGCCTCGGAGCTCCGGGGCCGTCCCCTGCCTGCTCCGGGGGGACCGACTCCTCCCACGGGGCCCGAGACTCCGCCCCCGGGGGCCGCCCCCTGTCTGCTC